TTACACGAAATAGGGTGAATACATTTCATTACAATGATTTACTGGTAGTCTCGAAACCCTACTTTCTTACAATTATTAATTCATCCTCTTTATTGTATAGGTGGATCATAATACCATAATATATCGCAACAAAAAGCTCTGCTATCCTATACCATTTCTATCCTTTCCTTGTTCGGTAATAGGGGCTAAATAGAGTGGACTCGCCACTCTCACCTCTGTTGGATAATGTCTTCATGAACAACTTGGAGGATAATTTCAAAACGTCACCTCAGCAGTCAACAGTTATTATGTGATATTTGGATGACTACTTCGCAGTCTGATCGCATGGAAGAGAAAAAATAGACGCTTTCCTGGTCTTCTTAAACGACATGGATGAAAAATTCAAATTTACAATGGATGTGGAAGAAAACGACTACTTACTTTTCTTGGATGCCTAGGTCATTCGCCCCGTAGAGCCTCAAGAAACGGTTGTTCTGAAATAAACTGCATGCGGGAATAAACCTTAACTTCCAGTCTCATTAGACTTATGGAATGAAACTTGAGATAGTCAGGAGTATAGTGATAAGAAGTCTACAACTCACCGATTCTGAGTTTTTGAAAGATGAACTTAAAAAAACTAACTTTGATTTGTCTTGGAAACTGAAAGCTAAATGAAGTGATACAATACAGCATACGGATTGTAATGAATAGAAGGAAGGACGGAGATTATGAAATGAAAGCAAGGTAAAGAGGAAAGACAATGGATATGTCTACCTTACTGCTAATTGGCTCGAAAGCTGCTGTCAATACTGTTGAAATGGAACATTCGCACAATCCTGAATAAAAGGACAATCATCTTTACCAGCTTGCCCACACAACATGAAGAAGTCAACAATATGGAATGCTCCGGACTTTATGACATAAACTGCAAGGAGCGCTAATAAAAATACATCGGAGAGACGGGAGGGACAATCAGCATGAGGGTCAAAGAACACCAGCAACTATGCAGAAAAATGGATACTGAAAGATATGAGATAGCTGAACACATCGCCCTTACCAGCCAAACAATTGACTGGAGTGTAGCGGAAAGACTGGCTTCATATGAGGGAAAAACCAGGAAACGGAAGATCAGGGGGGCTGTGGACATCCTCTTTCAAAGAAACCTGATGAAAAGGAGATTGGAAGAGGGAAGGATCAGCGATAATTCTGCTTACTGCTTGGGCAGACTCGGAGCTTCAGCGAGGACTGCCAATAGAAGACGCTTGAAGAAACAACAGGAAGAAACATCGCCTAGGAGAGGATAATAAAGGACAAAGTGGAATCAGGAAAAGGCGATTGCAGTGAGGGGAGTCAAACCTGGAATGAGCTTGAAAAGTTACTGCAGTGGCTCTCTCCATGAGATGTGGGATAGGAAGTTAAAGGCCAGAAACAGGCAGACTATTCTATATTAGAGGCGCTAGGCTTAAGATACTGATAGGTTCGACCTTGTTTTCGCAACTTGATCAGAGCGTCAAGGAGACTCGGTGGAACGTACCTAATCCTGTGTCCTCCACCATAGTATTCGTGATTTCCAGCATTGGATCATTGGTTAGGTGCATTCCCAAGCGCTTCGAACCAACACTATGAAGCTAAAGGAAACTGCGACCCAACAGAAGGCCATACCATCTTGGTATTCATATCTATGATCTAAAGGTATTGGGCCCTATTAACTTCATCAGGGTATGGATACCGACATAGGTTACACAATATCAGTTGGGCCCCAATGTGATTGTTTGCCTTACTGAGAGACGATTGGTAACATGCCTGATTATGGGAGAAGACCAGCCAATGGACAAAAGAACAACGGACTAGTCAACTTCAGAGACAAGAGGAGTGTGCTTTACGCGATTCAGGAATGGAGAAAGGAAATGGTTCATCTTTACATGAGCGGTTCCGAACCAAACCAGTCACAGAGCTCCAGAGCATGAGAGAGAATGGGGTAAGGATAAGAGAGAAAGGATAACTGGGTAATGTGGCTGATGTATAAGAGGGAGTAAGATGCCTAGGCATGGGAGTCACCGGCCGTAAATACTCGAATATGACTTAAAGGGTGACGGTAATTGAAAGCTCATAGGCAGTCAGATTTCAAACATTGTTAAGCTTACTTCCATTTCGAGTGAAGGTCTTTAGTGAGGCTATTCGAAGGTCGATTCCACCAGAAGACGATGACGGATTCCTCTTGACTAGATGCTGATTGGCTTTACTGGAAAATTCATGCTGACGCAGTTTCCGAGGTAATCTCCTCCGATTCCGGTAAAAAAAGGTGCTAAGCTTTCGTCCGTCAGTGACGAACATCATCAGAGCAAGGTATCCTCGTCACAAACAAATTCAAGCTAACGAGTCAAGAAAACTAAGCAGCAACTACTTAAAAAGCGGTATATATAGTCTATATTTGGCTTCTTTGATCAGGTATAAAGTGATTTATAGAAGTGGGTTGACCTCGTCGCAACTTGGTCTTGTTGTCAGGGCGATTTAGTATAACGCACCTCGTCCGAAGTCGTCTGCCGTAGTAGTTGTCATGATTCCCAGCATCAGACAGTAGACTTGGTACATTCGCAAACTTTGCGCCGGCATCGTAGTCGGTATCATCAGTGAGCTTTGCAATTCTCTGCACCAAGCTACGAATTCGTCAAAGAGACAAGTGCAGTCAATCCCTCAACAAGCATTCTGCCGAAAAGGGTTACACTATCACTCCTGTCCTGGTCTATCTATCTACGCTTTACCCTCTTGTCCCACTGCCGCCCTATCACAACTTCTCACTTGTTTACATTCCACTCGTCAAAATGTGTGCCATTTTGTGGCAAACCTAGTGTGGTTCCATCACACTTGCTATTTACCCGGATCCCTCTCTTTCTATCGGCTTATCTCACTCGAGCCTCAAATCCGGATCCCTTTATTTTGGTAGATCCGTTCCTTCTCTTTCTGGTTGACCGATTTCACTCGGTTCCAGTCCCAGTGTGCATTTCACTCC